CCTGATGATAACTGGTCTGATAACCTAAGCTCCTGCTTGCTGCATCTTGTTCACATGCTCAAGCCACCATGATTATTGTACTTACATGTACAGGTCAGGCCAGGGTCAGATGGGAGCAATCTGATTTTGTTTTTCTCTTTGAACGGGTTTTTTCCCCTCCCTTCCATTTCAAGGTCAGGAATCAAAGGCTGACTACTGGGATCACTGGGAATATCACACATGGTGCCACATGAAGCTGTCTTGCTCTTTATGTGAGGCACATAAGCTGGTTTGAAGACCCAGAATTTTGGCCGTTATAAAGCGCTTGGACTTCCTAGAAAGTATTTGGATGAAATTTTATGATCTGTAACCTATAGAAGGCCAGATCAAATGATCTAATAGTCCCTTGTGGCCTTAATTTCTGCAAAGCTATGATTCTATATTCCCAACTTATCTTGGCAAATGCAGTTCACTAACTTAGCAGATTATGAACAGCGTGAAATCAGAGAATACCCTTTGCCAAAATACACTAGAAATGTCTTGTTATCTATTCATGCATAACTTGTTCCAGATGAGATAAACTCTTAATAGTGAGCTAGCCAGCTACACAATAGATTAAGTAGATGTGCAAAAGAATGACAGACAGTAAGTTCTCACTTTTTTAGGGAACATTTTTTCCTTATCTCAATCGATGTACTATGTTGCTAATAATTCTCTATGGAGTGGTATTCTGCAGTCGATTATGTCTTTGGAAGTGGGTGTAAAATACTACTGTTCGGATTTGCGTCTACCTTTCAACAAGAGAGAAAACTTTATCATCTATCCCATGGACCACTGATTCATTCTTGCAGCCTGTGAAAAAAATCTCTCCCCAAAAACTCCCATTACTTTCAGCCTCTGCATACCAAACCCCAGCTATCTGCAGCTGAGCTTCCACATTCCTCAAACCATTTTCTGCTCGCCACCCTCCTGCTGGCACCTCTCCCTCACCCACTGAGAAGAGAGTTAGCACCGATGGTGCAGACCCCTTGCTGCTCCACCGGTAAGGACGAACAGGTGGGCTTCCACCAGCATGAGCCCCCCACGGGGGACAACAAAACCACCTCAGAGAGAAGGTTCAGAGGCTCCCTTTTTGGTACTGCTACAAAGAATTTTGTCTTATCCAAACACCAGGAGACATACAGCATACTGCTTTCTCTCGAAGTTGTTTCTCGAGACGGGGGTCCTGCTTTTCCAAGAGACACCATGTATTTTGGCACTGTCTGCATTAGTGTCACATATACAAACAGAGCCAGCACAATAGCTCTGCTACAATATTTAATTTTTAAACATGTTTAAAAAGCAAATATTAAACACCAAATACTAGCATGGTCACCCTGCTTGAACTAACTTTTGATCGTTATTAGTGCTTAGCTGCTTCTCTGACATTATCAACATGGATAAAATCTCTCATTGGGGAAATTAAAAAGTACTAAATGCCAGTGACTGAAAGAAACTTCGTTACTTTAAACCTTGCATTAAAATGACAAGGCAATCAAAATTTGACAAGACAAGCTAATTAGTATGCCAGCGATGAAATGTGAAGGATCTCCAGGGGATTGGTTCTGAAAAGTTTTATGTCATTTATAGGGCCTTTTTTTTTTTAAGCGAATGTTGTCAGCTCTCATGGTGAAATACACAACAGTTGAATTTCATTATCTTCATAGAAATTATGGACTAAAATCCCTTCATTATTTTCCAGTCCTCTTTTTTTTACCCCTAAATACTACACCAAGTCTTAGTTTACAGCCAGGAATATAAGCTCTTCAGGACACTAGTGCAAAACAACTCTAGAGGTATCAACAAGCATTAAAAATCCCATCGTTTTAAGTGGCAGTATGGTACTTATTGTGTTAGGTATTTCACAGAATTATAAAAATATTCCTCTTTCCTAGAGAGCTTGTACTTTTACATGTACAATAAGGATATCCTTCCTGTGCAATATTTTTACTAACTGCAACTTAGCTTTTTATAAGAAAATATTAATATATTTTGAAATGCTGCATACTGCATCATGTACTGAAACCTGGATAAACAAATAAAATATATGGTAAATACATATATGTATGTTTTTTACAAGAACTTTGGACATTTCTATTTGAAGTGCTGCCTACTTATTACACTGCACTGTAGTTACACCACTTTTTTTTCCTCAACACAGATTGAAGTTAATCAACTGTCACAGCACAGAATCAGGGCCTACATCACACAAAAAGACTAAAAGCCCAGCCTTTGGAAGGTGAATCATGTCGCTTATCACCATCAGAAAACTTTGTTAATACGAAGTGACAACTGTGACGATACCTTCCCAAAGGAAGAACTCAGGCACACCCAGAAGCTCTGAATATTAGGAAACAATGAAAAGAATGCACGCTCAAGCCTCAAAACAGTTTCAGAAATGTACATAACCTGATGAGAGCTCAACTCTGCTGACTCTTCTGACAGCCACAGGCATGAGGAGCAGTTTAACACCCTGCTGTCACACTAAGCAGGTGACTTCAAGAAATTCTTATTTCAAAATTATCCAGAAGACGACAGAGGAGTATCTGGGATAGGTGTGGGGGATGAACGTAAGAAGATTGGTCGTGGGCAGCTTGAGGAACTTAACAATGGACTGAGCAAAACAAGCCCTGCCTGAGAGAGGGCGAGAGGTTATGGGGCTTCACAACTAAACAGCCTCTCCTGGGGTAGGGAGAGCAATTTTCCTGCAGACACTCCAGGCGCATCGACTGCCCATGGTGAAGCTCTGCTGAACTACAGGGATAGAGCAGGGTGAAGACTTGTCACTGCGAGATGGGAAGAGGTGCAAGTTTACCCCGAGACATTAAATATGCCTTGCTGCCGTGCTGAGCGCTGCAGGGTCTGTCAGTAGAAGTGCAGAGTTTTATTCTACAGGGATTGCCCACACTCTGGCAGAAGTACTGTAACATTTAGTAAGCCTGAGGTTGTTGGCATCAAGCAGGTTCAGTGAAGGATGCATACAAAGGCCCTGCTTTCCTTCCCCCACAAGCATATCCCCAGAGGGAAAGGTGCCCAACTTCCCTTTTGCTTCAGCTCTGTCAGCTTTTCTCAGCAATTAGGAAGCAAAGCAAATGACTGTGATCTGTTCGGGGATGATCCAGAGTCATATTTTAAGGTCCAGGCGTGCAAAAAATATTACAGCCAGAAGACAATATTTTAAAGAAGTTCCTTCTTTTTGTCTTTAAAGGCAGAGGCAGAATTGCAAACCTGAGACGTTGCACATTGCAACTAGCAGAACCCCAGAAACACAACATCCCATGACCTGGAGAGCATGTGTGTGCCTTGATGGCAAAACTCATTCTTACCTAGAAGTCAGCTGGTGTTCTGCCATAAGATGCAGGAACATATTTGTACAAAATAAACTGGTCTTGATTTCTTAACTCAAGAATGCTTGATTCTTCATTATAGATATGATTACATATATGCTTTCCTATTCTACCTTGTTTTTAAGTAAGAATTACTTCAGAAAATAAGGAAACAAAACAGGTTTTGAAGGACCAAGTTTCATATTTTTCTCACTTGTGAAAGACATGAAAAAAACTTGCACATTTTAAAAGAACTAGGCTGTTACAGTAAAAGTCTCAGAGTAGAACATCACTTTTAAAAGGTCATGTCACTGAAAGTAAAATGAAAAGAAAAAGTAAAATGAATAAGAAAGGAAGGAAAAAACATTGAACTCAAAAGGTTAATAATCTATCCTTTAAATAAAAAAGGCAATCTACTTTTTCTCATTAAAACCTGACACACAGCACTAACTGAGGAGATTATGTTGTGAAAACATACTGCATCGCACGGTAATGCTTGATCGAGATCAGCAATCAGGAGCAAAAAGAAAGCACTGTTTCGTGATTATAATAGCAAATTCTGGAAGACAACCAAATACATCATCTGGCAGCTCAACAGCTGTTACAGCTTGGTAGTAATACCTTGGCATTTGCTATAAGCTATAACTTGAAAAAATTGATTTCTCATCTGCCAGAAACAAGAAAATGTTCTCCTTTTAACATTTCTGAAGTTTCTTTCACTAGACTACCCAGGTATTTGATCCACTTTTTTATTTTTCTCGGTTTTTACCCTTGCTGCTAAGCTAATTGTATATCAATTTGATTCAAAAATAAGTTTGAGGGAAAAATACTGGATGCAACTTAAATAAACAATGTGTGTTCAGATAAATCCCATTTTGATGACACACTGGGTAGCAGATAGCACAAAATATTCCTAATTGTCGTCCTTGCTCATATGCACAGCCATGATCCACTAGTCATTATTATACTTCATACCTGCCTGAAAAAGGGACATTTCCAAAATAAAGTTCAGTACCTTTCCATGTGTTTTGCTATTAGTTAAGCCTTCTGTTTTCCAAGTCCGCAGCAGTACACAAGGATGTAGACTGAGTTAATAATGCTGAGAATTTATAATACTTAACAAACCCAGTCTTTAAATTACTCCTGGGTACAGGATAGGAAGAGGAAGAAGGAAGATGTTTATTGTAATTTTTATAACTATATGAAATCATTAAAGCATTTGTTCTGTGTGTAGAGAGGCTCCCTGAAAAGATGAATTTTCTGAGCATACAGTACTTTATTGACCTTAAAGTAAGTATGCATCATAACAAGGACAGGGACTACTTAAAATCTTACAGCTTTTCAACTATTCTAGTTATTTTAGGGTTAAACAAAAGCAATCCATCATAAATATTTTAGATTCTGGCATTCCACTCAGATTTTGAAGCATCATAAACAATATCTCTCAGAAATCAATATTCACACAGTACATCTACGGGGAAAGGAAACAACATATACACAAAGGTGGTATAAGCTATCAAATAGATCTCTACCTTTACGCCTAGTGCAGTTTTCTTGGCCTCTGCTTTTAATCTTGTAGCTCTTAACATAGGCCTGGTTTTCTTATAATCTTGTTTTCCTAGAGTAGAAAAGCACATTTAATGAAAACAATGCAAAAAGAAGATAAAGAATGTCTGTAATTATTTCAGTTGAAAAGTCAGATCTAACATTTTGAAAACATCCCACAGTCCAGCACTTTAAGCAGGAGCTACTCTGTAAGACAGGGGCCCGATCCATGGAACAACGGTCCTTAACACAGACAACGACACCAACAAGCAAGAACCAACACATCAGCATAGACCTATTACTCCAGAGAGACATCAAAATACACGTACGGAGAGCCATCCACTAGTACAATGTTTATTAAATTGTTCAGTAAGCATCAGACAGCAAATAAGTAGATTATAGGTGGATGATGTTTTTCCCTCACATTTCAATCAAAACAAAATTTTCATTATAATTTTTGTTGGTTAGTGATCTCTAATGCATACATAATACAGGACATTATGGTGAATGTAAATGTTTCATCATTCTGAACTGGAACATTACTTGCAAGTAGCAGAACTCGGAGACATGCAAGTCAGTCCAAGTAAGCGCTAATAAAACCATTGCTTCACACCATCTGCTTGTAGAAACACGTTACACAAAATCTTCTGGAAGTATCTTAGATGGACTTTTAAAAAGTTACGGGGACTCTCTCTTGCAGTGACAAAGAGTGCAGCCAAGTGCTTGGTTACTGCGAATCCATATGAACTGGGTTCAGAGGAGGACATGCAAATACTTAGAAATAGCATAAATCATTTACCTCAACTTAATAATAAAGCACAAAACACTTGGTATCTCTCAGGGATATTTTTGCTATCTGAAGGGCCTGTTACTGCTGTACTATGTACTATCAATCACAGCTTCTTTAAGTCAACAGAAGTCAAGGTACAGATACAGTCACAAGAGGAGGAGAAGGAAAAGACAAATCTGTGAAGAAACTGCTCAGAGGGGTAGAGCCTCAATACAACCGCTTTGGCTTTTCAAAAAAGTCCTCTCCATTTTTCTCCCCCTAATGCATCCATGCTTTTTTGTCCTTTTTGCCTATTTCCAAAGCTGAGCTACAATCCTTAAAGCAGAAATCTTTGGCCATTTTTAACCACTAATTTTACCTAGTTTTACATTTTGCTTTTATCATTGTTACATTCAAATAGTTTAACCTTTTCTCTAAAACCGTGCCCAGTAATTTTGTGCATGCAACACTACCATTTGCTCAACCAGATGTGGTCTTACATTCATAACCAATAGTGCAAGCTTCTCATTTTATGGTCACCTTCAAAACTGGGATATTATAGTGCAGTGGTGAAATCCTGAAACATGAATTGGAAAAGACAGGTCTTCTCCAGTGATACACTGGATTAATGGAAACATACCTCTACCTTTGTCCACTCCATCACTCTGCCCATATTCCATACAGAGCTCCTCTCTGTAGCATACTGTGGATGCTGAACTCGCATTATGAATTTGCTTTCATTGTATAATCTCTCCTCAGCCCTAGGGATTATATATTGTGAAGGTCTCCGTATTATCCTTTGGTCAGATATTATTTATAAAAGACCTGAAATAACTTAGAAAATACTCAATGACAAAAGGAAAAAAAAAACCTGAAACGACATCTATTGGGCGGAAAAAAAAAAACATATATACAAGGAACCTTCTTAGAGGATGGAGTGAAGAAAAGATGACAGAATGACTATTTATGTCTGATGCTCCAATATATTCATCCAGTCAATGTATCTCATTTGCAGGACAGGACCACTGCAGCATTATTCTTCAGAAGTCAATGATATCTGATATCTGATAATAGAATGCATCAGGAGCACAGTAATTTTTTTGAACAGTTAG